CCATAGTATTTTTGATCTTCTTCATTAGATGTTGTAAGACCATCAATTTATTACCTTGACCATGTAGCAAACTTCTTCCAATGCAGGCGGGCTCTCTGTGGATATCTGTGTATGAATAAGACTTCTATACATTAAATACATCTTTTGTGTGGTAGAAAACATGCAAAAGCACCATTAAAGTGCTATGACTTTTGTTCCCTATATTGACCTAGGCTGAATTTGAACCAGTGATTTAGAAATAATATGCTCTCTATCCCAGTACTAATCTCTTCAGCCACAAGTCCAACCCTTCAGGGATTTTTTTTTTCACAAAGAGGATGATAACATATTTAAAGAACTCACATGTTACTCTCAAAAAGAAAATCCGAGCATATGGAAAAACACGGGTATTTGGCTAACCTACCCCTCATTACCCAGGAGGGAGAGAATGTAAATGCAGGCTTGCATTAGGTTGTTCAGTGTGTGTATTCAATCTTTAGAAATCTGTTTCAAAGAAAAGAAAGGCATAAACCTCATTAGAAGAGAAACAACAGGGTGGAAAAAAAAGCGAGCCATGTCAGTTCAAACGCAAGCCCGGATGCTAAAGTTAGTTATACTTTTCAGTTTAAGGCAATGCAAATCCATTCTCCATTACAGGGGAAGTGGAAAAAGGCATTAAGCCCTTGAAATGTCAGGAGTCAAGTTTTGTGCTCAGTCAAATAGGAAAAGGTTTAATGTATGATTTTCTTATTTTTAGTCTGTTGTGCATTGCATCAAGGCACCGAAGAACAACTTTGCAATTACGTAAATAGGAGGAGAGAAGCTAGAGCAGCACAATTGTTTGTAAGCTAAAATTGTTTCTTATTCCTCCTACCCCTCCTTCCTCTTTATACAGAAACAAACATGCACAAAACATTAACAAAATAAATCAGAATTTATATGAAGGTTGTCCACAAGAGCAGATTCTAGATACAATTTGAATCCCTGAATATTAATTTGATCTTCTGCCAAACGCTATGGAGGTCTTAAGAATCTGAGGTTATATTGTAAAGGAAAGGTGAAAAAGGAGTCCTAATTTTAAATTGTTTTCATTATATAAACATTTGTGAGCACACTTTTGTTCCCTGCTTTTTGGAGAATCATGATTAAACTTTAAAATGTATGTTTTAACCTGAAGTAAAACCAGGGATATTCCCCTACTTATGTCACAATATTTTAGCCAGAGGCAGCAAGGAATTGCTACTATTTTCCATTAATCAGGCTTGAGAAATGAAGACAGAGCCTCTTCAGTTTGCTCACTACAACAAATCTTCACTCATTCCCCTGTCATGGATCAGACTGCTTCTTTCGGCATGGTTGCCTCAGAGGTGAATTTTCCCCATTGTAACTCTTTATTTGGCAGAAGGGCATTTTCATTTCATTTCAGTTTCCTGTGTAGGTAACCAGCAGAGAAATAGAATATGAAATGACACATTTTGTGTGAATATTGTAAATGCATGGCAACACTATGCCTGAGGAATTCCTCAAAGAAAGTCAAGGAGGAGTATATACCTTAGGTCTTAACTTTGTCTGATCCACAAAGTAGCCTGAAATCTGTGACAAGTATTGCTGTAGATGACCTAGGAGATCAGAAAGTTTGCTTTCACTGCCTCTTGACCATTGATTTCCACCACTTAACTCCATGCCTCTTATTCTAATGAAATGCTTTTGATACCATGAGTAAGTATAATCTGCTTAAAGTAGGATCATAAACCCTGGGGCGATCTCATGGAAAGTCTGCCACAACACCACAGCAAGCAAGAAGTTTGTTGAACCATAGGTTTTGAAACCCCATGCGCCATTGTTTCTTCATAGATATCAGTTATATTTACCATCATCTTGGATCCCTGGTATATATCCAAGATGTATTTTTTTAGGGAGAGTTGAAATGTCATGCAGCTTTTGTGGATTTTCCTCACAGTTTTTATTGCTCGCATACATTTTTAGTTGTGTTTCTCTTTTAAAGTGATGTACTTTATGTTGAACATTTTAACTATAAAAATAACTTTCTGCAATTCTTTGCAAGCCTTTTTAATTCTTGAATGCAAGTGTGAAAATAGCACTTTTCACTAAAATATGTCAAATTTTTACCCAGCTGTTAGCCAGTAAGTCATAAAAAAGATTCCTGTGAGGTAGGCAGTGCATGTTATCTTTTATACATGCAGACATAGCACTGTTGTACCACCTGAAATTCTATCAGGCTCCAAGCTCTGCAGAAAGTGACAAATGCTAGACAGGTATATTATTTATAATGGATGAGCTATGCAAGCAAGCTCTGGGAGTTGGATTGGATTTGATTGCAAACAATAACATGACACAACCCCTGCTGTGGATAGCACACACATTGCGAGAGGAAGTGCAATCTGGCAGCATGAACACCAGACTACAAGCATGATCCAGAGCCCTACATCCACCTTCATGGTACACCTACAGTGTGGCTTTCAGAACACCTTTTCTGATCTAACATTCCTTCTTCCAATTCCTTATCTGTTTGTTTAGCAACAGTATGTTAAACAATCATACCTCTCCAAGCCACTTCAATGCAATTTATAGCTCAACATGATGATGGGCTTCAGAGAGGCTTTTTAAAGAATTGACATGAAAACACAAGAACTTATTTGAATAATTTTGTGCAGTTGCTGGCAGTAAACTTGGAAACTTTTCCATGAAGTAATTAATCAGATTATCCTTCAGGGAATATCTTCTACCCCAGCAAGAATGTTTTCATTTTCAGTACAAAAGTGGATGGTAGAATATCTATCTTCCTACTTTCACCAACATTCAGGTATTGAGCAGTATTGAAAGTAAAGCTTTTCTAGTCCTAGATGCAAAGGTTTTGTCTCCTCCTGTCCAATTGTGCGCACACAACATAAAATGGTCCCTCATTTCTCTTCATGAGCCATGTGGATTAGAAGTTACGCTTCTGTGGGATGTCATTTAATTCATTCCTGTGTTGGAGTCTGTGGATGCAGTAAGGGTCAGTTTGAAGTCTTGGTTCTGGTTATCAGTGGTTCATCCAGTCTGCTAAGCTATCACAGTTCATGAAGAAATGGTCTGCACAATAGAAAGAGCTGGTCTAGATTTCTTTTTTCCTTGTGGGAATGGTAAGGGTCTTTCTGCCTCTACAGATAGAATTGGTGAATGGTTTTCCTTGCCATCTGAGATGATTCATGCTATGAATCATTAACTAATCTATGCAGTTGCTTTCTTGTATAACCACCTTCTTTGTTCTCACATGCCTTGAATTATATTTCCACTCACGATCTTGTTGGCTTTGGGACATTTAGGTACAAATTCTCATTGGGAAATTGATGGGAGTGTTCCCTTACTTCTCCGGGGTGATTTCTTTTGCATGAGATACCATGCATGTTTTTAATCTGATGGTCACTCTGCTTTGTGGTGAAACACAAAACTTCTATGAGTAATTTTCTTGATAGAAATATGTTGGTATTATCAGTCCTCCTTTGTATTATTAGAATTCTTTGTTGAAGTCACATACACGTGGCTATAATTCTTGTTAAAGCATATTTCTAGTTTGATTCCTGCATCTGATGAAAGAAAATTTAGAGTAGCTATAAGCATGGGAGTGGAGAGCCAGCAGCTCTTCCTATCTAGTCTTATACTTTTTCTTCTTACAACCTTTTCTGGTTTACCCTTTATGCCTCATCTTTCTCCATTTTCTTTTTTCTTATTCCAGTTTATGGCTCATTGATTTCATAAGTTACACCAAGACCTCAGGTTAGGCCTCAGGGCATAGACATCTAGAAAGCTGAAATAGGGATGTCGGCATGAAAAGAAAGTGGAGATGACATGGCTTTATCTGCCAGTCCACAAATAACTTGGTCAACAGAGTTTCTGGCCATGAAATCTGAATACCATTTAAAAAATAACAAATTTAATTCATTCCCAATTTACTTTTGTTTCTCTGGATAGAAAGTAGAATACAGGGTGGTGCTGACAAAGCAGTATACAGAACAAAAAATATCACAATGACCTTGGCAAGTTGTTTCTCTTGGGATCTTATAGCAAACTAATTCAACCCTTAAGATGTTGATTAGCATCTCTGTGGCTAGAGACCGAGGTGATTTATTCAGGGCATAATCCCAGAAAGCCTCAGTCTTCTATGATGCTCTTGCTGCAGTTTAAAGCTGTTCTTCCTTAGTGACATCCCTATGACACACTTCCTGTCTTCCTGAATTTAATGAATATCCTAGTCAGTTTGAAAGTGTGCTGGGAAATAAAGTTTGCCCTTTGTGCCAGCAGGTGGATGTGAGCACCTCCAAACATAATGTTTGAAGCATATGCTAGCAAAACACAACAGATCTTAACTATCAGGAGTAAGTGAGCAGTGCAAGTTACAAGAAGGAATTTATAGCTTTTAGATGTGAATTATAAGAAGCAGGTTTTTTTCAGAGAGACACACATATTATTAGATATTTTTTGCTCCCTTGGCATCGCACAAGAAATTTCAGAGATGAATAGTTTATTTCCTAATACCTACTGCGTAATGACATGACAAAGTTCTTTTTAGAGTATCCTTTATTTTATGACTATGGCCTTCTCCGCCTTTACATAACAGCACTGGGTCATGTTGTGAATTCTTGCTGTACTTACAAGTACAGTGACAATCTGTTCTTCTCTTCTATAGACAGAACATATTCCGATTGTCTTCACTGGTAAGCTTGTGTGAGCCCCTCCTGGTCAACTCTGAGCCCCATCTTGTGGCCAGACCTAGCTCTTTCAAAGGTTTGCTTTCATTGCCCCTAGGGAAGTCTGGCTCTTTACTACAGAATTACACAGGAAAAATCACAGGTTATTATTGATGGGAACATTTCCTCCCACATCCTGAAGTCTAGGGCCAGCTATCCTCTAAGCAGTGTGTCCCTCAAAGTAACAGAACGAGAATTTTATCCAGAATACTTTTAAAGCAGTAGGTATTTACTGAAACTTGTATAACTCCCTTCCCTCTCTTCAATTCACAGCTACCTCATCCCTGAACTCCCAGCTTCAACAGCTTCAGCATCTTCAGCAGCTCCAGCATCAACAGCAGCAGCAGCAGCAAAGCCAGCAGCAGCAGCAGCAGCAAGCTCAGCAGGCACAGGCTCCACAGCCAGCACAGCAGACTCAGCAATCACAGCCACAGCCATCAGCACCACCACAACAGAACCAAACGCAGTCCCAGAGCCAGAGCCAACAACCTCCAGCCTCACAGTCCTCCAGCTCCCCTCAGAAACCCAGCCAGTCACCAGGGCATGGCCTTCCATCTCCTCTTACTTCACCAAATCCATTGCAGGTAGGATATTACATACAAATCCCTAAAGGTCTAAAAACTTGTGCATTCTCTCTCACTGCAAGGGGAAACAAAGCAAAGGCTACACCTTCTGACCACATAGGTTGAGCAATTCTACCTTATATTACTCAATCCTTATGGGCATTCAGTTTAGAACAGCTAAAGACCTGATGAACCAGAACACACCTAATGATGGTTCTAGGATGCTGCTTCCTGAAGAGTAAACGTCTTTTGCTTTTAAAGTCTCATGTCGTAAAACCCATAGAAAACTTTAATTCTTTTTCCACAGATTGATCATGTGATATTCACAAAAGACATTTGCCCAGCAGTCACGTTTATGATAACTTAAGAGGGTAACAATATTAGCAGTTCATTAGGAGATGATCCTGAGTGTCAGCTTCTGCTAATGGACATGTGCAAGGTGTGGATGTGTTACCTCTCCTCTTGAAATCACAGTCCTAATTTTTATCCTGCTAATAATCAAATACTTCTGTTAAGGTTCTTAGTATAGGTTCCAAAGCTAAGGATGCCAGTTAATGCCATTCATTGATGCTCACTCATTGGAGTGAGTTATTTTTTAATGGTTTAACATGGTTATTTTTTAATGGCTCAGCAGCTATCACATCCATGCTGCTGCTCAGCTCTGCCCATCTTAGAAGTCCTGGGCAGAAACGGGAGATCTCTGGTCCAGTGGTCCTATTTTCTTAGAGCTGGGTGTTCTTGCACTACATGTGCTGTGCTACATTCACACTGTGTAAGAACAGCTTTGACTGTACCCATAAGTAGTGTGATTCTGAACACCAGGGTAGTCTGTGGTGTGGAGTCTTATTCACTAGGCAGTGAAACTGCACTTAGAAACCAGAAAAGTCTCTATCAACTTTAGTCTTTAAATTTTGAGACACCACTTAAAATATTCTATCCACACTGATGGATTTGGATCCATTTCCTGCAGAAATAAAACTGCATTAGCTTAATAATTAAACAATCCTTTTTTAGACAATTAAGGGAATTGGTTTACAGGAAGATTTTCTTGCATGTGGCCAGTTAAACCTTCATTAATCTGAGCTTCAACTAAATTGCATCAAATCTGATTTTTTAAAATGGTTTAGATAATAGACTTAAAAGTCTGCAAGAGATGTGTCTTTGCTTGCTGAACTTTTTCTTAGAGTAAAGAATAATGCTTCTAAAGCTTCTTCTCTGTATTGTCTTAAGGACTACATATGCATCACTTAATGCCCCATCTATCTTGTTAGTGAGTGCTTTGGGGATTTTTTTGTATGCAGATTATTGACATTCAGAGACATAGATATTTTCAGGGGACCTTCTGTTACGTTTTATTGTCTTGGTACATCTGTAATATATGCACACTAACTATACACATGATATTTTGCGAAAACAGACAGCTAAATATTGTGTTTCAAAAGTCATTAAGTTCTACAAACAATGCAAATGCACACATAAATTAGAGTTGGAGTTGGGAAGAAGTTGGATTATCTCAGACAACATACCTCGAGAGGGTTGTACTAACTGAATCTGAGGTCTTAACTCTTGCATAGCCCTTGGTCCCAAAGTAAATCCCAGATGAATGTTAGTATTTTCAGTCTCTGTGATCATCCAGGTGCTTTCAACCGTTAGCTTCCCTGGGTCACCTCTCATTTTCAGAAGTACAATAAAAGTAAGTAAAAGCTTTTGTGTTAGATGCCAATGACAATACTTCCACATAGATACCTTGGGATATCTCTCTCTTTAGCATCCTCATGCTCACAATTACCTATCTGGGGGCAGTCTAGAAGTGGCAGACAACAGAACTGAAAGAAGGGAACCAAGTACTGTGAGGTGTTTTTAGTTCAAATACTATCCCTTGAACGTTTTAGGAATTGGGATTAAACTTAATGAAATACACCAGTGTGAGAGATCTGGCATTTCCCCTGGGCTGAGCTCAGCCAGTGCTGTTAAGCCAGTTGCATGTCTGGTTCACTTTCAGAACAGTAATGAAGGAATTAGAAGTCATTAGGTGTTAGTTCTGGCTCAGCTTTAAAAACTTGCTAATAAATTGTTGGATAAGTAGTTTTAATGGTTTTTCCTCTCTGATCCTCACCATTTAAATAGCCATGAAATACCAAAGTTTGTTCACAGATACAAGTACGCTGTGTACCGACAATCACAAGAGAAGACAGAATTGAGCACACTACTTCAGCCCTCGCCTTAAGCAATGTGTGTAGGGTCATTACTTTGGTCTTCTAGACATCCCATTTTCTACAGCAAGTTCAATACTGCTTAAGCTTCCCTAGAAGTAGTTAAAACTTGAAGCATGCTCCGTCATATTACCAGGAATTCTGAGTCACTTTTATATGCAAACAAGTGACACCCAGAAATATTTCCAGAGGAACTCATGTTTTACTTTGTGTTTGGTTTTTTGGCTACTTTTCTAAATCAGAGCACTGGTAACATCTCCTCCATGAAATTTGTCTTTCCATTCTAAATCCTGCAGAGAAAGGCTGCCTTACCCTTGTACATCCATCTTGAGGATTGGATCTGAAATTGTTTTCTTTCACACAGGCAGATTATGAAAAACAAACAAAAGGAGGGAGCACATGTTTGGCAGCAGTTCCTCATAATAGCTGCTTAGAATGCGGATTTTTTTAATGTTCAATGCTCCAACATAAAAATCAACCTGAAAAAAAAGTCAGAGGTAGTATGTCCTCTAGGGTAATGTTCTTTATGAACTAGAGTGAAATGGATTTTGTTTGAAGAATATTAAGGGAATAAAGAACAACAAAGCTAAAGTTTGACAGCTAAAATTTCATTTCTGAATTCTTGACTTTTTTCATGTGGGCTTTATCCTCTTACATTATTCAGGATCTGTCTGAAAGATATTAGTTTAAGAAAATGCAACTCAAAAAATTGTCACAGAAAGTCAGTAATTCAGGAGGATGATTGTGTTTGTTTCAAAAAACTGAAGGATAACAGCAATTACATCTCAAAATGTACAGATGCTGTCATGTCCTTCAGAAGGTAAATTAAATGAAAGTGACTTGCTTAGGTATACCTCGGTGAGGTACTTTGCTAGGTGATCAGAAATTAATAATGCAGGTGCAATGTATGCCAGCTAAAAGTCTCAAAATTATTCTTGTCAGATTATTCTGTAATAATTTTACCACTATTCTTTAAAGGATTCAACGGGCTGGACTGTAGCTACAAAACTACTTTTTATGGGGTCTTTTAATGATTGTGTAGAAATATGTAAAACCTCCTTTTAGGTTCCAGGATATTAATGTTTTGCTAACATTAATGAAGATGCTCCAGATTTACAGTGATAAAAGCCAAACACAGCAGAACCAGGATCATTGTTGATTTGCAAGAGACAACAACCAGAGAAGAATTTTAAAAGCTGAGCTCTCTTTCAGGAAGTGGTGGGTTAGGCAGATGACAGAAGATTTTCATCCCATCCTTCTAAAATGGTGAAATTCCTCATAAAGATAATCACAGTCTGATGTTTATTTTCATTGTGTCAATTGATTGAGACAAAGGAATCCAGAAGCAAAAGACAACCTTTCTCACATTGTAAGGTGAGGACTTCAATACCTTTACTTCTGGGAAAATATACCTCTCCAAATATGCTTATCCTGTGAATGTTTAGTGTTATTACATGCAAAATATATGGGTTCTTGAATGGGCAGCATGTTGCAACTTCAAAGGACAGATATCTCTGTAAGATAGAACATCTTACAGAGTTTCTATGCAATTAAAATTTTGGAGTCATAACAACTTGATTATATGCAGTATAAAAACAGATGAGTTTAGTAGTAAGTAGCTAATTATTCTGCTTGACTACCAGAATAAGGCACTTTCTACCAGCAAAATATATCTAGGTGGCTCCAAAAAAATTGGTTCGCTTCTGGTGCTGACTCTCACTGTATATTTTTGAGATATGGATAAGATGAATGTACACATAGCCAGACCTGCAAAGGGAGTGCTGCACTATAGGAATAGAGGAATTCTCAATGACTTCTACTGTTCTGTTTGCATGTGAATAGGAGCAGACAAACAGGAAATCCCCCAGAGATTTTCCTACTGTAAAATTATTCTGACTGTTTTCAGAACTCTTTCCTGAAGAGTCCCTTTTGTCACAGAAGTCTACCTACAATAACTGCAGCTGATGGAAGATGATGAGTGAGAAAATATAACAATAAAAATAAGGAAGAAGGGAAGTGAGGAGATGACAACAGCACAAAAATCTTCCAAGTAATAGCAAACTTTAGGATACCAAAACCAGAACCTCCTTCAGATTAAATTTTCATATTAATCTTAAGTAATGTATTTGGAAACTCAACATTTTTATGACAAAGGAACAAAGAAAAGCAGAAAGGTTGAAATACTCAACTCCAAATGAGGGAGAATATATACACAGATGTCTGAGGCTCCAGTAGTCACACAAAACAAACTCCTCTTCCCTTTCCACCCACCCTCATTCACTGGTTAGCTTATCATTAAGGCAAAATCAGCTTTGAAGTAATCTCGATATTTTCTGAGACTGACATATTTACATATCTTTAAGACACAGAAGTCACAAACAAGTCTGTCTGCTTAATAAAGGCCAGTTTTTCAAGGATTTTGCTCATGGCCTGTCTTTATGATTGTGTTTACATCCAAGACTTGTTATAGTTTTCTCATGCTTATTGACTCCTGAGATTAAGAAAATTTTATTGAGATTATGACAGCAGTAATCCCACTGAGTCCTGTGGGTTGCTTTGTTTTGCTAAAATTATCTAACTTCCTCTGCATAAGATACTGTGCACTTTCTGAATGATTGAATCTGTTCCCAAGTTGCTTAGTAATCAATTTGACAAAAAATATTTTATAAATGGTGAGTAAATGCAGTGCTTCAGATCCATTGTCCAAAATCTTCTAATTTTTTGTATCGATAGGGAGTGAGATAACCCACATCACAATACGATAGCTGATATAGACAAGAAGACATTTATTTGAGAAGGTTCATGCCC